AAACCACATCCGTGCTGACACACACATTTCGGCAGGGTGACGAGACTAACAGGGGAGGTCGGTCAGGGTGTGCCAAGCTTTTTCAAAATAGTTTCTTGCATGACATTGGGGCACATATGGGAACAAAGCATGGTTCATTTTCCCTGAACCCTTTCCCTTTCCCTGATTCTACGTTATTCAGTGTGAACGCCTTGCTGCTTCTCAACTCTCTGTCCCTCTCTCCCACCGTAACCGGTAAGATCTCACCATCGACCAATCATAAATCAGATCCGCCACCTGGAGGCGGGAACTGTAACACGACAGGGTGTAGGGGTCGTATTGGCCCGCTGAGAGGAAGAGTTTGGACCGTATCGATGCAGTAGGGTCATCACTGTCGGAGGACAACATCAGGGAGGGATCAATGCTGTGCAAGCTTAGCCAGAGGATTTCCTATAACATCGCTGAGCGGCACCTGAAGGCCGAACAGTGGGAGGAAATGGTCCACGGTTCAATCCCTGGAAAATTTTTTTGCACATTAGTTAAGGCTTCAAAATTTGCTGTAAATAGCGTCAGCATCAATATGGGTACCATATTCATTACCAGGACAATTAGTACCTATTACACTCAATTTTTTTTTCAAAATCTTAACCGAAAATCAAAATCGAAAAAAAAACGCCAGAAGGGCGTCCAAAGGCGCCAAAGTGGCGTAAATTGGATCCATCTGAAAAAGTGGTGTCGTAGTCGTGATTAGGGCATTGGATATTTTTTAAAGTGATTGTTCAAACGAATTTGAGATTTTGACGTAGTTCCGGAAAATTGGCTTTTATAGTCAGCAGCCGATAGGGATATACTTGGAGGGAGGTGGTCTTTGGAAGAGAACCCATGAATCCAGCTTTTCTCCTCTCCCCCCCCCACTTACATACATTCCTATTCGAAAAATTGCGGCGTGTCCACCTCACTTGTATAGCACCGCTTTTTCCCCTTCCCCCACTCCACCCCCCCCCCCTTTGAGAACACAAATTATAAAAAAATGGCAATAAATCATAAATAAAAACAAAATCAAGTCCGACATCCGCACGGATGCCGGGTTCAAATAATCAATGGATTGCCCTGACCCGTCCCCGTGTCACCCTGCCCCGCCATCGTGAAGTTCGATCGGCGCGATCAAACCTTACGGCGCTGTCCAAATCCGACATCTCGGATTCGGTAAAAAGGGGTTCGTGATCGTGCGAGGGAACTTGAACCCGAATTCCACGGTAATTTCGAATTTCTGTTTGAGTTCCGGCCTGCAGAAGATTGGCACTGGTGCGATCAATCTGGTCAGTACCGTACCAAGTCGATAAACAGCGTAGGCCTACGTGGCCGTTCGCACCCGCCAGGTTGCACATCAATTTTTTAAATACCTATTTCGGAATACTCACAAATTGTCAAAGAGAAGACAGCCCTTCACTTTTTTACTGAATTTTCGAGATCGTCACGCATTCATTCGGGATGTCCCATGTTCCCGCTTTCGTACCTGAACGGGACTGTTCCTGAACATTCAGCCTTCGCGGACTCAAGCGAAGTTTGGGGAGGGGAGTCTGTTGCAGTAAGCCAAATGCTTTTGGAAACAACAAAAAACATTCCTTTTTTATTGCAAACCCTTGAAAAAGTAATTTTTGCAGAGGGAAAATAAGTGATACCAGGTCTCTACCTGTAAAATTAGAACCGGTGGGTTGCACGAGATCATCGCACCGCAGTGCCTTTCCCTTCCCCTCCCAACCAGGGTGAAAATCGTGTCGAGTACGTGGTCGCAGAAGTACGACCCCCCCCCCGAAATCGAGATCCTGGCACGACCCCCTCTAACAGAGCAAATTAATTCAATTAATTAATCAAAAATCCTGCAAAACAAAT